GATTGCAAATTAAGGTCAACTAAATTCAGCTTTTCTCTTTCTTTTTTCTTTTTTTCTTTTTTTGTTTCAACTTTTCTTATTTTTTTTAGCCACTATTAATTTCGAAAATCCTTTCCTCTTAGACTAACTAACTCCTTTGTTTATGTTTATTGTTGTTATTTATACATGTGATTGTGTTAGTTCTCCACTATGATGATATGAGATTTTTTGTTACGGAATATGGTGTGAGGTTAGGTCGTGGTGGGGGTGACTGTTGGGTGCTCGATTCTTCACCATGATGATGTGAGATTTTTTATTGCGGGATATAGTGTGAGGTTGGTGGTAGTAGTAGTAAGGGGTGGTCTGCGGCAATAGAGGGAGGTCGTGTAGGGTGAGGTTGTGCTACGGAGCTGCAACAAAGTACAAAGGGAAGTCGTGGGGCTTGGGAGAAAAGAGAGAGCTATAGTTGAATGGAAAAAAAAAAAGAGATATGTGAATAGTGGGGTGAACAATTAGAACCCCATCTATTTTAGTGTCTTTTGTAATTAGAATCCTTTTTTCTTATATTACCATTGTTGTAAACTTTAATAAAAAAAATTCAAATATAGTTCTAATTATAAAAGTCAAAAGATCTAATTCTTCATATTTATAAATCTTGGATTTAAAAAGAAAAAAATCATTGATAATCTTAGTTTTAAAAAATATTAATATCCAACTTTCAAATATATTGTTTGTATATTATAGAGAATATAAAGAAAATATGATCTTATTTGAAAGAAAATTTTTAAAATTGAACTCATTGGTCTTTAAAAAACATCATAGAACTTATTGATCATTTATTTTTTAAAAGTGATTAAACTTATTTATAATTTTTCCAAAATTCAATCTTAACTAGTTTATCAGAATGGAGGACTTCGAGTTGGTGTTTTTTTTTTTTAAAAAAAAATTGAATGGGTATTTGAAATTGACAATAGTAGAGATATTTTGTTTCAATTATTTGAACCATAAATATAATCAATCCTTGCCATTCGAGTTCTAGTTGGAAAAACCTCCGAAATCAGTACTCATGTTTTTGCATCAATCCGATCAGTATGCTCTATAAAAAAAGATGGTCAAGTTTTATTTTATATTTGTCAATTTAGCAATTCAGCTTAATAATTTGACTGGATATCAAAAAGTTTTGAAAATATTTTAAAAATAAAAACATCATTAAAAAAAAAAGATAACAAGTTTCAAATACATTTTAGGAATAATTAATATTTTTAAACAATATATTTAATTTTTTTAAAAAGAAATTGGATAGTCCAACTATAATCAAGCATTAAAGTTTTTAAAAATATGCAATAAAAAAAATCTTGAAAAAGAACTCGCCTATTAATTTTTTTTAAAATTTTATAAAATAATAAAATTCAAATAGGCTCAACAATTAATTTTTTTTTAAGTTTTTAAGGAAAAAAAATAGTTGAAAAGACCTTAAATTTTGAAAGGTCCTAAAAAAATATTGATGTTTTTTAAATGCTCAGACTATAAATTTATAAAAAAAAACATCGATTGAGTATTAATGTTGTAGTCTTTTTAACATCTTTGAATTTTTTTATAATTTTATTGTTTTCTCAAAATGTATTATTTTTTTAATTCCCCGAGCATTTTCAAAGATGTTTATTTTATTGAACAAAGTTTGATGTTTTTATTTCTTTGACATTTTTGAAAAATTCTAATTGGCGTACATATTACAATTTAATCCAAATTAATTAAATTGGCTTAATGTTTCAAACACAAGGTGAAATTGATCAAATTTTTTTCCTATTTGTAACATATATGATAAAAAACCTATAAAATATACACCAAAAAAAAAAAAAAAAAAGGAGAGAAAGAAAGAAAGCAAGCAAGGAAGCAAAAGGCAACCATATATTTATATGCATCTATTAATGCACGTCGCGGACGTGCCATCCCTTTCTTCCGAGCTAGTCTCATCATCTTCCAAAATTCTAAGGTCAACCATGTCACTACCCGTCCCTTCCTTGATTTTCCTAGCATCTTTCAATCCCAACATCTCACATCACATCTCTACATCAGATTAGATGCAAATAAATAATGCATATTATAATTAATATAAATCCTCCACTTAATTAGAAAAAATAGGATATTATCTATATTATTAGTAACGCACTAAAAGGTATTGGAGTCTTAAACAGTTTATCACTATCGATAAACTGTTCAATTACTCTTCACATTTTTTTTTCCTTTTTTTTCTTTCTTTTGTTTCAATTTCAACTCTTTTTTTTTCAAGTACTGTTCTTTTTTTTTCGTTCTTTTATTTCAAGTTGTTATGAATGTATGTCTTTTTTTTCTTTTTTTTTCCATCAAGTTAGATTCCTTATTTATTTATTTATTTTTAATTTTTAGGTTGTTTCATTTTGATCTCTTAGGTTCCTTTTTTTTTTAATTTTTTTAAAATTTTTAGGTTATTCAGTTTGGTCTCTTTTGTTCTTTTTTTTATTTAAATTTCTAAAATTTTAAGGTTATTTCATTTTTGTCTCTAAAATTTTAAAATAAAAATTTTAATCATATATCCGATGCACTACTCATGCTTTTTCTTTTCTTTTTTTCCTTTGTTTTTCATCAATTTATATTCTTTTTTATTTAATTAGGTGTTAAAATTTTAAAAAATCAATCGTTCTTTTTTCCATACAAACTAACAATCATAGAACACTACTCATGCTTTTTTTTTCCTTTGCATTTTTTTCATCAATTTATGTTCTTTTTTTATTTAATTAGGTATTAAAATTTTGAAAAATCAATCGTTACTTTTTTTTTCACACAAACCGACGATTATATAATATATACGATATTTTTTACATTTATACGATATGTTTTTAGATTTTAGAATAAATATAAACTACTCTTATTATATAAAATTGATTTTTTCAATAAAAATTCTCATCGAGTTAATTTTTATTCTTATTTTTTTATAATTTTGTTTATTAATAAACATGACTTATTTTCTCTATGTATGGATTTGAATAAGTTTTTTTAATACCTATTTTATTTACTTGATTCTTATATAATCAAAATTTAAAAACTGAATATATGTATTTTATTTTTTTATTTTTTAATAATCAAAATTTATCGAAATCAATTATATAGTTTTTACTGCACTCTATTAACTTCAACATATATTTTAGCATTTAATTTTTTAAAATATTTTCCTACCATTTAATTTTATAAAATATTTTTTAAATTATTTTATATATTTTCACATATTGAGTACGGTCATAATGTATCAAAAATAATAACATTAAAATTATTGATTTTATTAAAAATTATTTTCTTCTTTCGTTTTATTTTCTAACACCCTTTTGATATATATAAACAATTTCAACTTGTTGTTTTCTTGATTTTAAGATAGAAAAAAGAAAAGGATCTTGTTGCAACTCATGGACGTCCTCTTCTTCCTTTCCACGCAAGAGATTTCATCTGCATCAATTGCAACACTACCAACAACAGAATATTTTATACCTAGCAATTTTTTATTTTATTTATTTTCTTTTTTGCGAAATTTGTTAATTTTTTTTGGGTACTTTTATGCTTTTTCACTTGACAAATTAATCCGACATGTTTTGCCACATGGAATTTATTATGTCAGTGGTAAGTTTTGATTGAAAAATAATCGAAAGAGTCACATTAAAAAAATTCAAAAATAAAGATCACATTAAAAAAAATAAAAAATAAAAAAAAGATGATGAATAAAAAAATTGAGTACAAAGACCGCTACTGTAAGAAAATAAAAGTAAAGAGTATGATTTCATGCTATCAATACGTTTTTATTTAAAACGTTCGACATGAGCCCAATCCTTGAATGCTATTTAGACCGACTAAAACGTAGCCCAAAAAGACCTAAAGCCCAATTTTGAAATCCAAAACCTGGCCTATAAAATAACGAAGAAGGCAGCAATTACGTTAATGACAGGTAAGCAAACGCGAAGCGCACCAGTACAAGCACAAGAACGAGCAATCATCCATCCATCAACAACAAACAACAGCAACGCCACTACACCACCCTCGTCTAATCCATCCAACCATCCATCCGTCCGTCCATCCAAAAATCCTAAAAGAAAAAAGAAAATATAAAAAATAAATAAAACACGGACACACCCACACACACAAACTCACACTTGTTTGTGGCTTTCACTTTTATCCAGAAGTCGCCTTCTCTCTCTCTCTCACACAAACTCAAAGCACAGATTCCTCTTCCTCTTCTGCTTTTCTCTTCCTCACTGTAAGTCTCTCCATAGCCATACCGAACAAAAAATAAAAGGAAAAACAAATCGGTCTCTTTTATTTATTCATTTCTTTGGTCGACCTTACCTAATTTAAGATCGAAACTTTGTTGAATCTTTTTTTTCCCCTAGATCGCTAAGCATAGAAAGAAAGTTACTATCTAAAAATTGAAAAACCCGTCTCTTGTTTAATACATCTCGATTTATTTAAGTTTGTGTCCCGAAATTGAATTAGGATTTTTCGGATCCTGATTCGGGTTTAGATGTACAAATGTATGATTTTTCTTAGATTGATTAGTCGGGATTTATTTTTTAATTGATTTGTTGATTTTTTTGAGTATTTCTTGTTGCTGTTGTTGACTTTGTTGGTTAGTGAAAAAGAAGTGTTTTTTTTTTTTTCCCATCAGTTGCATGATTAGATTTAATTGAATTTACAAGGATTTTGTTTTAGTTGATATTACTCTGTTTGGTTGCTGAGAAATTGAAAAAATAACAACTTTGACCTTTTTGTTTTATTATGAAACTGAGGTGTGTTGCGAAGCCATTTTAGCTGTTTTAACTAGTCTAAACTGAGAGAGTGGGTAGAATTGACTGGATTCTTTTTAAAAATTTGTATGGCTCTTGGGAAATCTTTGTGTTGGCTAGAATATAGATGGAGATCCAGTTCACAGTGAATTGTTTTTAAATTATGTTTTGTGAAGATATGTCTAAAGTTGCTGAATATTCTTCTCCAGGGCAATCATGAGTGACAAGGGAGACAAGACATGCCCATTGTGTGCTGAGGAGATGGATTTGACTGATCAGCAATTGAAGCCATGCAAATGTGGTTATGAGGTTGAAGCTCTGAGCCTTGCTTGGTTATTTATCTTTTGTTTGTAAAAGTGGACCGTCAACGTCTCCACATTTCTTTTACATGTTATTCACATCTGTTTTCTTTTCTCTTATTATCACAGATCTGTGTTTGGTGCTGGAACCACATTATGGAAATGGCTGACAAGGATAATTCTGAGGGTCGCTGCCCGGCATGTCGCATACCTTATGACAAAGAAAAGATTGTGGGGATGGCAGCGAACTGTGAAAGGTTATATTCATACTTATTGTGCAGTTTTCTTTCTATCATGCAAATACTATTTGATGAGTTGCTGATGTTCACAATTCACCTCGCACCTTTTGCTGTGCAGGCTAGTAGCTGAAATGAATTCAGAGCGAAAACTGAAGTCACATAAGGTGAAGCCAAAAACGTCTGATGGAAGGATGCATCTAAGCAATGTTAGAGTAATTCAACGGAATCTAGTGTATATAATTGGATTACCTCTTAATCTTGCAGATGAATCCGTGAGTATTTTTGCTTATCTTTGTGCATCTCATTACAGCTTCTATGTAGATATAATCTTGCTGCAGTTATTCTTGCATTTGCTTTACTATTTTTCATATATTTGTGGAGCCTGAGGTGTATTTTTTGTTTTTATCAGCTTCTTCAGCGAAGAGAGTACTTTGGCCAATATGGAAAGGTTCTGAAGGTGTCTATCTCTCGAACTGCAACAGGGGCAATTCAACATTCTGCAAACAACAGTTGTTGTGTGTAAGCTCACTGGCCATTTTTTGTCTAATGTTCTCCACCCCCACCCCCTCCCTCCTTTCCCCACAGTGGGCTGAAACTTGCATCGTATTTGGGGATTCTGTCATATCGTGGTCATTTGATATTTTGTAGTGTTAAAGTGGTACCTTTTTTTCACTTGTTAGGTATATAACATATGCAAAAGAGGAGGAAGCAGTTCGTTGTATTCAATCAGTGCACAGTTTTGTCTTGGAAGGTAGATCCTTGAGGTAAGCATATCTTATTCTTCTGTTGTGTGTTGCTTTTTTATTGACAATCTGATGATTAATAAGATTTTTTCTACTCAGGGCATGCTTTGGAACAACAAAATACTGCCATGCATGGCTGAAAAATACAGTAAGCACACACAAAATACTCATCCTTCATGATTCTGCATACCAAGAACTGAGCTTTCTCTGCCATTCCTGCGCCTAATATTTCTGTTGGTCCAGCCTTGCAGCATTCCAGACTGTTTATATTTACATGATTTTGGCTCTGAGGAAGATAGTTTTACAAAAGATGATTTAGTTTCAGCCTTTACAAGGTATTTTTATCTTGTCTTCCCTATTCTCCAGTTTTCCATCTCTCTTGCATTAAATTACTTTGCTTTAGAAGATTTGCCTGATACTCTTGGTCTTTTTGCTAATTATATATACCTGTATCGTACTTAAATTATCTCATTATGGTTTTAAAGGAGTAGAGTACAACAAATTATTGGTGCTACAAATAATTTGCATCGGCGTTCAGGAAATGTTTTGCCACCGCCAGCAGATGAGTGCGTCAATAAGAACACATCATTGACAGTCAAAAATGATTCCAAAAATTCTTCAAATGTAAGCCTCCATGTTATATAGTCTTTTCAGGAACAAAATGGTTACTTTTGGTGATGCATTCGGGAACTGTGTTCTTGTAGGACTAATCATTATATGATATAATCTGATTTAATCACTGTAAGGTAAAAATGGGGATGATCTCCATTACAGTAAAGTTCAAATGAATAAATCTACAAAGATAGTGTTGTTGTATTTTACTTATGCAGTCTCCTTACTATTTGAAATACCCTGACTGTTGCTCTCCAGCAAAATATTGTGAACTGGGATAGCGGGTCATGTGCAGAGAGTGGTGCTGGAAGATCCAATACACTTCAAGGGGCAGCTTCATGGTATGAGATCTGTTGTTATGTGGCATCCTGAATTTTACCTTATGACATGTGGCATTCAGAATTTTATTATACTCTATTTAATGGCTTTATCAGGGTCACGCGTGTTGCTGGCAGTTTGCCACCGCTTACAAGTTTGCCATCATCAGGTGGGACTCCCAATGCTAAACCTGAAACATCACATGGTTCCCATGCTGTTGCTTCAGAAGTTGTGAGTACCAAAAGTTCTGGTGATATAAAAAGAATCATACCTGAAGGAAGCTGTGAAGTGTACCCTGCCAATCTAACATTGATTGACCATTTATCTTGTCCTCCTGCATCTCAGGACAGTGCTGGTGATACTGCAGCACCACCAGATGGAACTAGCCCTTCGAAACTCACCAAACCATCCTGTATTACAGTTCTTGATGAAGATGAAAATTTTCATGCAGATGGGGACCTGCAGGGACTATGCTCTGGGTTATCATCAATTAGCATTGATGGTCATCTCATGGATGAGTACCTTGAACCTGTTACTTCAGAGATTTCAATCTCTAATCATAAACTGCCCAAAAGTCAAGGCTCACAACCTTTTGTGAGCGAGCCTCCTAGTGAGTCTTCATCCTCGCCAACACAGAGAGAATGTGCAATTGTTGAGGATTTACTATTTTTTGATGATCAGGAAGTCCACGGCTTTGGAAGCATCCATCATCAACCGCCCATATTGTCTTTACCCTCTCCAAAACAGCATTTGGAGCAGTCAACCTATCATTCCTGGCAGCAAGGCGAGAATCATCAAAGCACTATTGATGTCCATTCAAGCATTGTTCCCAATAAGAATGATGAGGTTGCTTTTCCATTCAGATCTGGCAACACAGCTCTGTCAAATGGATTGCATGACAGGCAAGCTAATGGCCTTGCTGAGTGGGATAGGTCTTCTAACTACTCTAGCGTCTTGTCAGAGGTAGGATCAGGGAAGTGCATTGAAGAACATGGTAGTAATGTGGCTAGTATTGACTATAAACTGGATCTAGATACTGATGAAAGCAGCATTATCTCAAATATTCTATCCATGGATTCTGGTGTGTGGGAGGATTCGTTGACATCGCCTCAGAGTTTCGTTAAGTTGCTGGCTGATAATGATAAACAAAGTTCCCACAAAATACCATGCATGCGAAAAGCACAGGAGAGTAGTCAATCAAGGTTCTCATTTGCCAGGCAGGACGGTTTCTCCAATAACTTGCCTAATTTTGAGCATTCTTCAGAAAATGCAACAAATATGTCTTCTGCCTCAAGTTATATTATTGAAAACAAAGATCCTTGGATGGACAATTATCATGGTCTCTCTTCAAATATTAGTTCTGCAGAATCGAATGGTTTTCTCAGCAGGCATCCTTTTACATCTTCTAGCTTTTCTGGTGAGTGCCATCTAATTTGATACAATGCACCTTCCTATTTCTTTTGAAGCTGTTCTTTTCATGTTACTGGATGTACTATGGTTTGCCATTGTAGAACCATTGTTGTCTTACTATGACCCATTTGTTAATTTTACCAAATATTTTCTTGTCATTATCTTATAGTAGTATGAATCTTTTTTTTTTCCTTATATGTTATGATGCGTGATACAGAACTAGGTTTATAATTCCTGTATGTATTTGAGAATAATGCTCTGAGTGAAGAAAACTATCTATGCTAGGGATACTTCTAAGCTCTTACTAAATGATGTGTTGTTTTCATATTGGCAATTCTTGCTAAAGCAATGGTATATGGTTCTATCATTAAGGAAAGGTGTCACTGCCAGTTAGGCTATGGCTATCCTGGCCACAACCATGCTTGTAAGTTAGTTAATGAATTTGATTTGTGATAGGGATGCGTAGAGAACTGGAATGTTCTCCTTGCTCTTGGTACCTTGCCAATGTGGAAGATGTCTTTTGGTTTTTGATTAACAAACTAACTCTTTATGAAGGGATGGATTGTCTTTTGGAATGTTAACTTACAGACAATCTTTGGCGTTGGGAGGCAGAAATTGCTATCTAGCTATTCTTAGGTGCAGTGGAAAGGGCTGTAGACTCTATTAGGTATGCTGTCTTTCATCATTCACACCAATGCTGGAGACATGCCTGTTATTTATAAGAAACACTGAGTTGTTTTTCCAGGCACTGGCCTTTAGGAGGTCATCTGAATAACTAGTGGATTAAAGTAACTACTTAAGATGCTTTATAATTATGGCAGCATTGTCATTGGCGTTGACATGATATGGTGTCTTCCTGTTCACACGTTGAGGGTATTCAATGAAAGAAAGTGCCTTTCAAGTTTTGTTTCTCTATCTTGCTCCCTGTATTAGTTGAATCATTTTTTCATTTTTTATTTTTTTGCATTGCTAGATTTGTGCTTGGTATTAATTTTGGTAGGGCAGGTGTATTTTAGTTTCTTTTTCAGAATTTGAAATGTTGATAAATTTTGCTCTGATTTTTGCATTGCTAGATTTTTGCTCCCTGTATTAGTTGAATCATTTTTTCATTTTTTATTTTTTTGCATTGCTAGATTTTTGCTTGGTATTAATTTTGGTATTGCAGGTGTATTTTAGTTTCTTTTTCAGAATTTGAAATGTTGATAAATTTTAGAGATGTGCCACTGAATGTAAAATTTCGACATGTGAGAATGATGCCTTTTAGATAGAACAAGCAATTCCTTCGCTATTTAGAAAGTCAGAGCTGGGTTTGAGGAAGTGACGGGAGTCGTGGTGCTTAGTCATATCCTCATTACAAATATTCTAGTTGTCATTAACATTTTGGCTGAAGAGTTAACTAGAAAGGTTCTTGTCCAGTGTTTAGTTATATTTGGGAATATCAAAATGCTTGAATCCTCCTCGTGGCTTGTACCGTAAGTTGTGTGAAGCTTTTCTTAGCACTGTTGTAATAAAAAAGAAACTGAATCTTAGGAGTTTTGAACTGTGAACAGTGATTCTACTTGAATCCAATTGCATGTTTTGCAGCCTGGGATGATGACATCTAATATTATTCTTTGCCAATCTTAGATCTTGAGAATTATTCTCCTACTTTTTTTTTTTTGCTGCAATGCCATGAACAGTTAAACTTCCTCTAATTGAATCCAATCGCATGTTTCGCAGTCAGGGATGTTGACATCTAATATTATTCTTTGCCAATCTTAGATCTTGAGAACTATTCTCCCTTCTTACTTTTTTATTTTGTTTTTTTTTTTTTGCTGCAATGCCATGAACAGTTTCCAAAACTTCCACTTCTTCCCCTCCAGGATTCTCAGTACCAAGCAGAGCTGTACCTCCAGGCATTCCTACACATGGGGCAGTGCACTATGATTTTGACCATTCAGGTTTGTGATTTATAATTTATGATGGTTTGCCTTCTTGTCTTATTTCTCCTTGATGAATTTTAATATATATATATTTTTTTATTCTTCAGCAAATCATTTTCTTCAAAACTCTACTCCACTATCTAGGAATATTGGCATCTCTGGGGATGTTGAATTCATTGATCCTGCAATAATGGAAGTTAGCAAAGGATTTCTGTCAGCAAGGCTGAATAATCCAGGCTTTGATGCAAAGCCAGCTTTATCTCTTCAGTGTAGTCCTTTTGATCATGATTCAGAGCTTCAGATGCTGATGCGGCAATCAATGTCTGCACATCAGAACCCCAGGTTATCAGATCGCTTCAGGAATCGGTTCTCCCCACCAGATGATGCTTACACCATTTCACCCATGCTTCTGGGTCAATCCCCACCTAACAAACCATCATCATTTACACAGTTGACAGCTCAACAGCTTAGAAACATGCACATCTCTAATAGCAGTTTGGGTGGTTGGAATGAGGTAAAAAGCATCAGTGATCCTTGTATGCCAGAATTCCTTGGAAATGGAGGGCTGGGATTTAGCAAATTCGTGCCTAGTTATGAGGATCTGAAGTATAAGATGTCTGGTTCCAGCAATCTATATAACAGAGGATTTGCAATGTGATATCTGTTGGGATTGTAATTACTTCTTTATACTGATGAACATGTCAGAGTGGTTGATTTGGTGCGTTCTAAGGTGCCCTTAGATGAAATATGCTTTGGTTTCGTTGTGTCTGTGGTGCGTATTGGTTGTTGGCAAACCATAGTCAGGTGCATTCTTTGCCCCTCTCATCACCAGGAACTTCTATCTTCTGTTGGAGGGAGTGAAAAGCCAGTTTATCATCATGACAGAATTGAATGTTGGCTGTAAGAGATTACTATGCCTAGAGTGACTTACTTACAGGTCCGGGATAGCTATTGGCTTCACTCTCTGCGGTAGACATTTGAACTGAATGGTTATTCCATTTAATGCAGATGCATGTTCCATGCACTACTGACATCTTTTATTCCACATGAAGAGAAGGTGAATGGCAAAAGATTTCTTGCGTGCATGTGTATTCGATTTCCTTGTTTCATTGTGGATTCAAAATATTAATTATTATATGTTCGTGTTGTACTTTTCTTTCTAATTGCAGGTTGGCTGGGAAAAGAACACTGGTTTTAACAATGCACATTTTGGCAGATTTTTAGACTTGGAGTGAATCTGTCGTACTCACGGTTACCTGAAGAAAGAAGGTATTCGGTAGTTGCACCTCATTAAGATATGTTCATCTTAACAAATAGGCCCAAGCTAGAGTTCAAATGGAGAACTAAGGCTTCCTGTAGATAATAGAAAAATAAGGTCGTCTTTTCTTTCTTTCCTTTCTTTTTTAGATGCTGTCTTATATGAATGGAAACAAAACTTAAAACAATTGTTTGTCTCCTGTTTTTTTCTCATTAAGATATCTCTTCTCTTGCGTTATGAGATAAATTCACGAGAGCATCAACGTTTTCTAGCTTGGTTCTGGATCTGTAATGCAACCATTTTGGTCAAATATTGCTTGTTAAGCATACAGCGTATTACTAAAAGAACAAGGAAATGAACCTACATTTCTCGGAAACATCCAGCCCAAACAATATGCTGATAGATGCCATTTCAACGGTAACTTTATGCTGATAGGAATTGTTTTCTTGCAATTATTTTGGTGGCACATTAGAACATCTGAAAAACCAAAGATGGGGAAACCTTGCGTAGAGTGCGTAATATGATTGGAACGTAGCTCAATGAGATAGGCAAACATGACATGTTATTTATAATACAAACCTGTTGTATTCCAGTTTTAAACTTGAAACTTTGCGTTAGTGTTTGGGGGACTGGCCTTATCTTTTGCCTATAGTAGATGATCCAGCTTTTAATTTTAACGATGAGAAGGGAGTTGGTAAATTACAGTCTTGCAAAAAAGCATCTGAATCATTTATGGATGATTTTTTCGCCACTGAAGTGCAGTGATATTTATACGTGGATAAGCTGTCAATGTTTAGCTAACTAGGGACAAGAGGGGGAATATTGAACATAAAAAACAATTATTGTAGGGCAGAAGGTCAAGTCTCTTTCCACCAGCAGCCTGCTTTTTTCTTTTCAGTTTTCATACGATGGATTGTAGTTGGCTATAAACGAATCCAGATTATAAACGAGTGCCTAGCTTTTGCAACAAATGTCTCAAATACAAACACAGAGGGATTAAGCTAGCTAATTGCAGATATTTTATTATGGCTTTTGTTTCTTTCTTTTTATTTGTTCTTTATGTGATGATATATAAGATTGCTTTCGTAGTTCAACCTTGGTTGATAGGGGATTCTTTTACTTATAAGTATAAAAAAACAACATAATGCAGTGGTTCCCAGTGGACCCTTAAGTGTCTTCATTTATTCAATGATGTCGACTTTTGTGTTAGCAACTTTGCTTGGAAATTAGGCATCTCCGTGATGGAAACTTATTATAGACATGTTCGCATTCATGGTGGATAATTATTCAATAATGTTGATCTTTGTGTAAACTTTGGTGTTAGCACTTTTTTGGAAATTACACATACATAATTCGATATACATCTCCATGATGGAAACTTATAAACATGTTCACATGTGTGGAATTAGGGATGACTATTGTCTGAGTACTTGGTTCATTAATCGAAAATGTTTGATGACACTAAGGTGATCGACAACATTTTCAAAAATAGAAAGTTTTTAAGGATAAATTTGAAAAGTGAAAAAGTTAAATGACATAATACTCTCATTGAAAATTACCCATCTTTTTTCCTTCCTTTGTATCCCTAAAAAAAAAAAAAAAAAATACTACCTTTATAAAACTATGATGATTTTTTTTTTTTTGACATCACTGATGTCATGTAGCACTACTCTTAATTCAATCTCTTACTCCATCTATTAAAAGAATATCTTACCATGGAGGATGCAAAAAAAGAATATCCTGCTTATATCTTATAAGAAATTACTTTTTAAACTTATATTCGGTCCATGCATGATTTATCCATTTATTTAATACCCATTAAAAATATTTTGTTAAAATGTTTTATTTTGAAAGAAGTTATTTTAGCTCTTTAAAATTAATATTTTTCACAATTTGGTTCTTTATTTATAATTTTTTTTGGTCTTTAAAGTTTTCATATAAAAAAAGAAAAACATTTTGGTTTTACTTTATAAAAATTGTGCAATCGGGTCCCTACATTTTGCTTTTTTATTATTTTTTTTAAATGAAAAATAGTGGCTATCAACAACGTATATATAAAATGAGATCTATATCTGTAAGTCATATATATATATCTCAATGTTCTTTAGATATTTTTTAAAGAGCATTTACTGCCGTCATGTAGAGTGGATGCCCACTTCATATCGAGTCTATTACCATCTTTACAAGGAATCACCAAAATACTTAGGGCATCAGTGCATAACAAGTCTCAGTCTTTCTTCTAGGGTTCTTCTCTTCCATTCGGGGTGTTCGCTCCTCCCGTTGCCTTGTGCCCTTCATCCATTAAGAGGGGTGATTGCCATGTCATTAGAGCTGGTTTTTCTAACTAGATCTCAGTGCTTAGCTTTTGCTTAGTAGCTAATAAACTACCCGATATACTCGAGAAGAATAATGGGGCCAAACAAATACAACTTGGTGCAAAACAAGATCCGCCTAAAGGATACATCACCGAGCATGAAGGCTGAAGGCTCTCTGCATTCAGGATTGTCCCATATGTACTCATGTGACCTATAACTAAGCGATGGGGGGACACAATTACTAAAAAAAACAACCTTTTTCGTCACATCAACAATACTCACATCATTATTGCCATTGCCAAACAACCTATTGGTCACATCAAAAGGCACCAACCCTCTCACTTAGCACCAGAGAGTGTCGACAACAAGAAAATGGATGATTCTACCCTTTTCACCGTATAACTTATCAGGAGCTCAACTATATAAGAATTCCAATCACCAAGAGTTTCAAGTTCTCATTTCTATACGATATTTTATATTCTAAAAAAAATAGATATTGGTCATCTTTTCTATCCCATATTCACATAGTGACATTCTACAAAAAATCCTAACTCAATCATCTCTTTTTTCTCTGATCACTAATTAGATCATCAAAGTATATCTCAATTCATTAAAGAGATTTATTTTATAGGTACGCAATGCATTAAATAGAAGAACATACTATCAATTTATACAGTCCACCTTCAGCCATAAAGAGCCACATCACATCGTCTTTATTTACTGGATGAGTTTTCATAGATTCATCACTACCCACATTCCCTTTCTTAATTTAATGGTATCCTACATCAATAAGACGATGATGTTCTTAAAATGGTGTTTTCATGGTGATTATTCGTATGAGGATTTGAGAATTATGGTTTGATTGGTTGTTAATTCGAGTTATATGCTAGGAAGATTTAGCACCTTCCAACCAAGTGGTCTATGTTTAAACATATCAACAATAAGAAGAGAAAATCAATGGTTGGAGATTATAGTTAGGCATGACGAGATTAAAGATTGGATTTTTTGTAATGCTGTATTGGTTAAGTTTGAGGGAGAGCCAGCCAATTTTTATTTTGGCTTTAGGTGAATTTGTTTTTTTCATTGAGGTTTATTTCTATTTTTATTTTTTAATAAACAAAAACTCATAATGGATATCTAAACTAATTTCTCTCAAAAAGTACTGAAGTCTTTAATTTAGGTTAATTAATTTATCTTGAACCATTAGTAAAAATAAAAAATAAAAAAAATCCCTAATTTTTTTTTTCTGATTTAGGTCTTCAGGTTTTTTTTTTTTTGTCTGTAATTAAATTTTTATATCTTGTTGACTAATTTCAAATAATATGAGAAACATATAGAGTCATTAAAATAACTATACATATTTTGAAAGTCCTAAACATAAGATTTGTGTTTCTCAAATCCATATAACGTGACTTGAGATCGGTTAACGAGATGAAAAAAATTGAGGACATAAATTAGGTAAAAAAAGTTAAGAATTTTTCTCTTATTTGTCAATAATTGAAGACACTTTATAACCCATTAGTTTTTATTTATTTATTTATTTATTTATTTTTATGAAGCAATTAGCTTTTAATTTATGCAGTGTATTTGGCTTTGAGTCTTCAAATCATCTCTACGCAATCTCCTACGTAAATTGAACTTTTTGCCTCCATCGTTGTGTGAGGAAGAAGAAGAACGATTAATCATATGGTCGTACTAGCTAGAAGAGGCGTGTAAAATTGGTGCTCTCTTGCTTTTCATCCTCACTTACAGTGTACTAGCCATTAACTAATCTAGTAATCTTAGCTAGAAGCTCTGTTTACTTCTAAAAAGGAGATGCTAGACTGGCATATCAAACAGTGGGAACAGGCAAGTACTCACGAGGTTGGGTAACCCTAGATAGACAGTGACCTATCTATGGTGGCTCGACCAGACCGTGTAGTATTTATCTAGTATTTACTACCCTGGCTAGCTAGCTAGGTTATGACACCGCTTTCTACTATTTAGACCATTTGATAGGCAAAAGTATGGAAATTACGTATGCCGTGAAAAGCTCGATAGCGGGAGGACGGAGGATAGGATGATCAGACCTAGTATAGAGAGAGGACCACGTGGTATCTAGAAAAAGGCTGTTATGCTTTGATCATTCATCAGATAAATTAGTAGTTGAAAACTGACTATCGTTTGTTTGTTTGTTTGTTTGTTTGTTTTGTTTTTTTTTTTTTTTTTTTTAAAAAAAATTCTAGTACCTGCACAGAGATGCCTAAATAGCATGGCTAGATTACGTATGTGCATTTTCGTTCCTATACTAGCTCATGTCATCCTATGTTTCTATGCACTCGCTATCCCTTTTAAGCACGGTTGCTTGTCCTTTAAATATGGATTTATTTATTTATTTTTGTAGTGTATAATATATAATAAATACTATATGACACCAGTTAAATTTGATATTCAGGTATAATTTTTTTTTTTTTTTTTTGAAAAAGCTTACATTCTTGTATTAGATAATTTATTCTTCACTTTAACATTTTATATTGCCTTGTTTCTAAGTGAAATATCATCCTCAATAACACTTAATTTTAAGAAATTAAATAACATCTTTAATAACACTCAATTTTAAAAAGACTAATTGGTTGTATAATATCTTTTATTATACCGAGACTAACTAAAACTTTTTTAATTC